ATCCTGTTCGCCGGACAAGTTGCCTCTGGTCATTCCAGTAAGAAAACAAAGATGGCCGCCTTTATACACGACGGATACAGTGTTGTGCGACTTCTGATTGGTCAACCTTCTATTGGTCGACTATAAAGGGAAATAAGTCATTTTGACTCGCTCACTCGTTTTATGTAATATACACAAAAAACCGTAACACATCTGAGATGGAACGAAAGCGTCTATGCTTGTTGGATGTTTTATGCTCACAGTTTCTTGTCTCACACTTCTAGCTTGTGGAACTCTCATCCGGTTTCTTGCTTTCTATTCAAGATTAAAAATGCAATATCAATCGTTATCTTCTATCCTCTTAAATCATGTTCTTTCATTGTTCTCGTTCCTTAATCATGTTTTACTTACATTCTTTCAAAGTCACTCCCTGTGTGTTAGTGATTCTGAAGCTTTGCTTGGAGTGAAATATTATTTTTTTTAAAAATGCATCCAACAGGCGTTGCAAATAAAATCGCGAAATGGATCCCAGTCGGTACACTCTTAATAGAATTATGTCTTGCGAAGAGAAGATTCATACCGAATAGACAGGCCGAAAGAAATGACCACAGACACTACAGCGTGTTCCTAATCGTCAAGACAGAGATGCGATGCAAGATAAGAGTACGGAAATGAGACCAAGAACAAATCTAGTACAGAAGCATATTGGTCAGAATTATCAGGGGAACGGGTAGGCAAATTTTCTACTTGACTGAGATATTGAGCAATTGGAAGACTGAAAGTCAGAATACCGGTAATATCAGTGGGATTACAATGGGGAAGCCACTTAATCTAACGTTTAAATTCTGTAACGATCCTCTTCTCTTCTATGTGCCGTGTGCCTTCAGGACGTCGGCGATCATGGCTCTCCAGAATTTACTTTCCTTTAAAGCCCTTCATTAATTTTTCCTTTTTATATCACGTCTAAACTTTGTTTCGCCGTCCATTTGCAATTATCATACATGTTTTATTTTTAAAAATATGGTATATATATATATATATATATATATATATATATATATATATATATACAGATAGATAGATAATCCAAATATTAAAAGGATGCCGTCAGAATGTGTTCTTAAAAGAATTAAAAATTCACAATCATAGTTGATTTCAATAAATAGATTTGTGTGACGTCGTCCCCCGGTCGCAGCGTCGACTGTGTCGTTCGATCTCGTTCGCGGCGCCAATTGTGACGTGAGGTGGTCCAGGGTTCTGATCCTATGGTCACGACACCAGTTGTGACGTCTTTGCCGCGGCGTCAGCTGTTCGCTCCTCGCTGCTCCAAACGTGACGTTCTAACCCTTTGGTTAGATTGATACCAGCCTCGTCGTTCCCAACCTGCTTCCAACGCCTGGTTACCAGGGTAACTGCACTGATCTCCGGTCTGCCTACCCACGTTGTGACTTGATCTTAGGCAGACGAGATCAAACAGGGCTTGGGCCGTAATGAAAGTTGAGTCTAACGGGGGTGATAACACACAATTATGTATAATAAAAAGAAATAAAATAACAACCCACAAGGTCCAACGTATCAAGAAAAAGGTAACAAACTTTTATGTCTATTTGCTCGGTACATAGGACTATGTCTACCTCCCGACCCGTTCTGTGGATTGTGGCACAACACTTTTACTAGGCAACTTTAAGGCTTCCAGTTGTCTGCTCTCTTAGAAATTTGCGTTTCGGTGTGTCTTTGGACGAAAGTCGAAAAAAAAAAACTTATTTCTTGTGGTCTGATTCTAAGTCGCTCTTCAAACTACTTGTTCTTGGTTGAAGAAGAGTCTAGAAGTGTGCGTGAATCTTGGTTAGCTATCTTGATGCGGTTTCAACACTGGGCGCTGATCTCTGCTTGTCGTTCACGGCTGATCTCTCTCGCCGTCCGCGGCGCAAACTCTCCTCTTCAGAGTCTGAATTATTGGTCACTCATCTCTGCCGTCAGTGCGCGAATTAACTTCTTCTCTTCAGCTTGCTCTGATTCCAACTTCTCCACTTAGGCCAAACGGGCTGCTTCACTTCGGCTTCTCTTGCCCGCAAGAGGGCGAATGAACCGGGCCCGCCGTCCGCGCTCAAACTCCCTCGCCGTCCGCGGCGCAACTCTCATTTCTGTCGGTTGGGGTCTCGCTTTTATTGATGCAGTCAAAAACTGGGGTGGGTCTGTTTGGCGTCGGGGATTCTTGATAATTCTAAATACGTATCCACCCTTCTTATTTCTGGTTAGGGATTTTCCATTTTCGGTAATTCACTTTCACTCCTACTCCCTTACTGTGCCTCTGGGGGGCGTATACCCGCTTCCCCGCTCCTTCGTATGTCATGTGACCGCTCTCGGCCAATGGGGTCCTGGTCGGGCATCTTTCCTCCTCCCTCCACGTCATGTGACCGCTCTCGGCCAATGGGGTCCTGGTCGTGTGTCTTTCCTCCTCCTTCATGTATCATGTGACCGCCTTCGGCCAATGAGGTTCTGGTCGGTATCTTTCCTCCTTCCTTCGTGACGTCTTTAATCGGGCGTGGACAATCCGTGGCTTTGTTCTGGGGGAAGAAACACCTTGCTTAAAGAAACAAAAATTTAAATTGCCCTTTTCGTACGTGACCGTTTGTCAAACAGTTTATCGCTAATTGGATACGATCTAAGAAAGGGATTTCTCAGACTGGGTGGCGTTTTCGTGAACTAATAAAAATAATTCACTTTTTCTTTCGCGGCCAAAGGCTTGATAATAAAATTTTTCATTATCTCAAAAAAACATTTTCAGCCAACATCATTCTTGTGTGGCTTTATTTTCAATTCTGGAATGGTCTGGGTTTTCGTATTAATGGTTTGCCTGCATATCCTTAGATAAACTTCCCACCTGTTACCTATCATATTTTTCCCATTGTCTCTAAACTTTATTTCTTCAACCAAATTGATAACAAACTTCCATTTTTCGTGGACACGGAAGTAGGTCAGGTGTTTGACCGGGATATCTTCCAACATCTGTTATGTATCAATCGAGTGTGTGTGTGCGTTCGCTTAAGACATGGTTTTCGTATTATATTTTTTTTTCCTTTTCTTCTTCTTCTCTTTCTTTCTCCCAGATCGCTTGAACGCAATTAAAGAATTATTCTCAAAACCCAAATATTTTTCAGCTCTAAATAATTATCAAATGGTTGACAAACCGTAAAAAACAAATCATATATTTATGAATATTTCTTTTCAGCCTGCCAACTTATGCATGGTGCCACATTTGATTTGATAATAAAAATTTTCATGAATTAATGTAATTCTTCATGCGTGATACACACTTTTACTAGAGTGCTATAAATAAACGTTAGGTATGCGTATTATACATAAGGACTAAATACAAACATGTTCTGACTATATGCGTTGCCATATTCGGTGCGGTATAACTCAAATAAAGTAAAATGTACGTTCCAAACTAACTTATGTGCTACAAAAAGCCGTCCATTTGCAATTATCATACATGTCTTATTTTTTAAAAAATATGGTATATATATATATATATATATATATATATATATATATATATATATATATATATATATATAGTATTCCTATATCATTTATATATTTATCATATAGACAAAACCATTTTACTCACTACAAAGATGCAACTTGGTTTCAGTGCATTTCAGCTGCATTATCACATTTCTGTTGCTTCATGTCTCTTCTTCATCTGTGAGGAGATTGTTCAGCCTGCACTCCCATACAGGACAACTGATATTACGGAAGATTTCAGTACTCTTTTCTTTGTTTCTAACGAAATTTTTAAGTTTCTTAATGCTTTACTTAGCTTTTGGAAGGCGTCTTTGGTTATCACAATGCACCTTCGGATTTCAGTGTCGTACTTCCCAGATATTTAGATTGTTTGATTTTAGTATCTCCAATTTGTAATTTACATGTTGGGCTCTTTCTTTTGCTAACAAACATATATTCGGTCTTCTTTCTTCTCACTTTCCTTCACTCCCTTCTATAGTTCGTTTAGATTCGTTTCTGATTTTGCTATCAGCATTATGTTATCTGCATATCTTATGCTGTTAAAATCTGGCCGCCAATAATGAATAGGACTTCTAATTCTCTCGGAATTGCCTCATTTTATAGATTAAATAAATCTGGTGAGAAGACACAGCCTTGTCTTACAATCCTTTCTATTTTTACATTTTTACTGAATTATTTTCTATCCGTATGTAGGTCGTTTTCTGCTAGTATAAGTTAAATTAAAAATCAAGCGTTCACTCGTTTAATGAGAATCACGTCTTGTCTCACCAATGTAGATTTTTCTTGTAAAATAAAAATCCTTTTCTGGATTATCGTCAAAACATGTTAAAATAGAAGTCTTCAAAACTGACTTACATATTTCCTATAGGTGTAAATGTATATACATCTGGAAACTATCAAGAAGGAGCAGTTCTTGTCCATGATATAAAGATTTTCCAAGCGTAGCTTAGATATGGCACAAGGCCGAAAGTATGGGGCAAACAGTGAGGATCGAACTCAATACTCAGTCGTAATTGTTCTACCGAGATAAAATTGCTAACCATTACACAGTCTCGAGGTGCCTCTTGTCCATGATATATGTGTTTAGATTTTAGCATTATATAACATTGTCAATGTGTTGATTAAGATATTTGTTTACAGTTTAAACTATTAAGGTAATTTTATAAATTAATTTATTTCTAGAGAAATTAATTCTTAATGGTTTTAATTCTGGATGTGTTTGATTTTACCGTTCATCTACAGTTTCGCAACAAATATATTAATACTTTTAAGTTGCTTTTCTTTTTTTAATATATGCTTTTATACATAACATAATTGACGGAACGATTAATTTTTTTTCTGTCAAATCCCCTGTCTCGGCACGGTATTTATTTGGGGCAGCTGCATTATTATTTTGCAAATCACTTTCTCTGCGATACGATTATTTTGATCCCAGTTTACTAAACTTATCAGAGGAACGATTATTTGAACTGGCACGCCCATTTCATAAGTTGAAAATTCCTATCAAATGAATATTCCATACGGCATTATCTATCTATCTATCTATCTATCTATCTATCTATCTATCTATCTATCTATCTATCTATCTATCTATCTCAGTCTGTTCATATCTATCTGTCTATCTATCTTTGGTCTTTTATTTATCTATTAACAATATCTGTCTGTGCATGTGTATGTGTGTGTGTGGATTGCAATGCGTTGAAAAATATAATATATGCACATTATGATGGAATATGTCAAAACCGGCTGGATTTTGAACATTTTTATTTTCCTGTCGACATTTCACACCATTTACAAGATCATTATCAAAATATAACTGATAGTCGTGGGTAATAGTTTGAGGAAATATTAATATACATTTGAAAGAATCACGTAAAAAGAGAGGGACATTAAAAAGGAAATAATTATTTTAAACATCCGTCTTGTTTTCACGTATTCAACATTTACGTAATTTGTTTAGATATTTCTCATGTGTGTAATACTATTTTTTAAAGATTTACTCTACCTGAATGAAGTTCATACACTTCGTTCAATATCCCCACCCTGTACGTTGCTTGCTTTGTACTGTCCGCTTATAATCTTTTAAATAATTTTCTCCGTAACACAATTATTGTGTTCCACGTTTATTCAACTGTTGAAGAAATTCCTGGCGGAATGTTTATTTGAATAATGTTAAAATGTCCCGCAGCCATTATTCTAGACGTTCTGTGTATTTTCTGTAAATGAGTATTCCCGTGAGCACACACACACACACACACACACACACACACACACACACACATATATATATATATATATATATATATATATATATATATATATATATATATATATATATATGTATGTATGTATGTATAGGTTTAGGAAAATGAAATAACTAAAGTGTGCTGGCTTGTATACACAGGTAAGCAAATAAATAATTACCAGATTTTCTCCAAGAGGTGTAAACATAAAAGTGCTCGATGTCGTTAGTCAGAGCCAGGAAATATATATTAATAAATATATATATATATACCTACGTTTGGTAAGCGACTTAAATTTCGTGAACGAAAACTTGCAGTCTTGTAGTGGGTGTTGCTAAACATTTCTATAAAAAACACAAAACACGATCTCTTTGGAAGTACCGTTGTTAATAGAAAGGATTGTCAAGAGGATGATTTCAGGAAGAAAAAAATTAAATTAGAACTAAAATTAATCAATTTGTAAACAAACTATTATGAGGAGATAGAAAACTATATGATATGTTTTCTCTTGTCTACTTAATACAAATATCGACATAATTAATTAGATTATTTACTTTCGGCACGTTGTTTATTTGTCCCAGTATTCTTATTAATTTTAATTGTGCTAATGTCGAAAGTACTCGGAATAAAAGAAATATGTATCAACACGGCGATTTTCTCTCATCCTTCAATAATTACACCAAAAAGCTTGTTCGTGACTATGAAAGAATCGAATTGAATATAAGTAGACAAAAAACTTCTCTAAAATAATTAATGAAACATGTCTCAATGAAAATGCCGACCAAATATATATATATATATATATATATATATATATATATATATATATATATATATATATATATATATATACATGAAAAATATACTCTTAAAAGTGTGCTATATTTATGGAATGAAGTGCTCAATATCAGCGATAGGACGTGTGTAAATATAAATATAAAAGTGAACATTGAAGTCAACACTCAGAGGCGATAGGCTGTTTCATGCTAGACGCAATCGTCAGGTGGTCTCCAAGTGTTGACTTCAATGTTCACTTTTATATATATATATATATATATATATATATATATATATATATATATATATATATATATATAGAGAGAGAGAGAGAGAGAGAGAGAGAGAAATAAAACTCTGCATCGGTATATTTGTTGTAAAAACGTATATAGAGAATCAATAAGAACCAGAATTAAAACCATTCCGTTTTAATTTCTCAAGAAATATGTTTATTTTGATCTAATCTTTTAGAGAAAGAGAGCGAGATGGAATGAATGAAATGATTCATTGATAATTACTCTTTTTTAACAAATACAATTATCGCTACAGATATACGTTCCTCCAGGAATTGCTTTATTCATTTAATAAACGTACGAAGGGGAAAATTCTTTGACAATTAATAAGAATACGGGAACAAATAAACAACGTGCCGAAAGTAAATAATCTAATTAATTATGCCGATATTTGTATTAAGTAGACAAGAGAAAACATACCATATATTTTCTATCTTCTCATAATCGTTTATTTCCACATTTTATATTGATTCATTTTCGTTGTAATTTAATTTTTTTTCTTCCCGAAGTCATCCGCTTGACAATCCTTTCAATTAACAACGGTACTTCCAAAGAGATCGTGTTTTGGTTTTTTTTTTTTTTTATACAAATGATTATCCATACCCACTACACAACATCAGATCTCGCGTGTCACACAGGTATATATATATATATATATATATATATATATATATATATATATATATATATATATATATTTGGTGTGCGACTTAACTTTCATTCACGAAACTTAAGTCGCACACCAATCGTAGGTATATGTATATTTATTAATGTATAACGACATCGAGCGCTTTTATGTTTACACCTCTTGGGATAATATGTTAATTATTTATTTGCTTACCTGTGTATACAAGCCAGCGCGCGTATATACGGTTGCCTATATTTAAGTATTTAATTTCCTAAACCTATACACACACACATATATATATATATATGCATACACACACACACACACACACACACACACACACACATATATATATATATATATATATATATATATATATATATATATATATATATATATATATATATATACTCACGGAGAATACTCATTAATAGAAAATTTTTAACATTATTCAAATAAACATTCCGCCAGGAATTTCTTTATCAGTTGAATAAACGTGGAACTAAATTAATTGTGTCACGGAGAAAATTATTTAAAAGGTTATAAACGGCCAGTACCAGTACTTATAAACGCCATACAAGGGGAGGGGATATAGAAGGAAGTGTATGAACTTGATTCTGGTAAAGTATATCTTTAAAAATAATATTACACACATGAGAAATATCCAAACAGATTATGTAAAAGGGGAAACAAGACGGATGTTGACAATAATTATTTCCTTTTTGATGTTTCTCTCTTTTTACGTGTTTTTTTTTTTTCAAATCGAAATTAATTTTTCCTCAACATATTATCGACGACTATCAGTTATATTTTGATAATGATCTTGTAAAAGGAGCGAAATGTCTACAAGAAAATAAAAAATTTCAAAATACAGCCGGTTTTGATATATTCCATCTTAATGTGCATGCATTATATTTGTCTGCGCATTGCTATTCACGCACACAGGGAGAGAGACAGAGAGAGAGAGAGATATTGTTAATAGATAAATAAAAGACCAAAGATAGACAGATAGATATGAATATACTGAGATAGATAGATAGATAGATAGATAGATAGATAGATAGATAATGCCGTATTGAATATTCATATTGATAGGAATTTTCAACTTATAAAATGGGCGTGCCAGTTCAAATAATCGTTCCTCCGATAATTTTTATTTAAGTTTAGTAAACTGGGATCATAATAATCGTACCGCAGAGAAAGTGATTTGAAAAATAATAATGCAGCTGCCCCAAATAAATACCGTGCCGGGACAGGGGAATTGACAGAAAAAATTTAATCGTCCCGTCAATTATGTTATGTATAAAAGCGTATATTAAAAAAAGAAAAGAAACTTAAAAGTATTAATATATTTGTTGCGAAACTGTAGATGAACGGCAAAATCAAACACATCCAGAATTAAAACCATTAAGAATTAATTTCTCTAGAAATAAATTAATTTATAAAATTACCTTAATAGTTTAAACTGTAAACAAATATCTTATTCAATGTATAAAGTGAAGCGATTCTGAGAGAATTAGAAGTTCTATTCATTATTGGCGGCCATTATTTTAACAACATAAGATATACAGATAACATAATGCTGATATCAGGAACAGAAACAAAACTATGAGAATACCTACATTAACCACGGAGGATGATATGGCGCTAAACAAAATCAAAAAAAAAGTTATTAAGACCTTAGTCGGAATCATAGAGACATTATAAAGATCGAAGATCCTTTCATTCGCTGCATTGTATGTGTTTCACCATGGCTATATATGGTTGCTAAATGCAGAGTTGTCCTTATCCTAGATTGATCGTAATTGCTCTATTTATTTTGTTTAACATTAATGTGGGCATTACCCCCCACCTCATTTAATTTTTTTTTAAGCGTTTCACCCTAAGCATGACGGGAAGCCACTAGCACGCAAGGGTTTACAGAGAGTTGGAGCGAGAGCAAATAGGAGTGATAGAGGAAAGGATGAAGAGAAGGATATGAGATAGATCAAGGCATCTGGAGACGTCGATTGACATTACATTTGAATAGTTGGATATTATAGCTATCAGGGAAACAGGAATAGGGGAGGGAGTTCCACAGGCGAGAGGTGCGAGACATGAAGCTATTTGAGTAGAAGAAATGGCTACATTTAACAGTTTCGACAGTGAAAGGGTGAGAGCGATATGCCAGCCTAGTCGAACGCTTAAATTCATGAAGTCTGGGAACCAGCGAAAGCAGCTCATCGGAGGCATATATCATTTAGTTCGTATTTTTTATTATATATTTTCTTATCATAATATTATATAGTGTTCTTTCTGGCTTTTATAGAATAAATAAAAAAGTCTCTATTGTTAAAAACTGAATGAAGGGGCCAAGATGAAAAATATAAAAGTGTGAGTTTCAAATGTTCAAAAATATTAAAATAAGTTTCCTTTTATTTTCAGCAAACAAATAAAATAGTTTTTAATGTGCACAAATATTATGACTAAAAAAAGCAACTCCTTGTCGTTAGTTGTTAAAAATATTCAGGAACCTACTTGACTAATCCTGAAAATTTCACTTGCCACTT